CTTCATACATTCCATGTTCCGATTTTCAGTGGATGTTTACAGCTGTGTCTCTTCATTTTGAGTTGTGCCCCATCAGCAAATGAAAGTCCCACAGGCTTTTCTCCCACGAGCTTTTCTCCTTTCATGTTATCATAGTGTACTCTAATTTAAGGAGGCAGTTCTTCCCCAGTTGCATTTTGAGTGCCTTCCAACCTGAGGGGCTCATTTTCTGGCACTATATCTCACAGTGTTTCTCTGCTATTCATAAGGTTTTCACTGACTAAATATTCAGAAGTAGTTTGTCACACTTTATTCCTAGTCTGTCTTCATCTAGAATCTCATCTGAAACCTGTCCACCATGGGTGATCCTACTGGTATTTAAAAGACCTGTGGCATGGCTTTCAGAATCGCAGCAACTCCCAAGTCACCACAGTATGACAAACTGACAGACAAGTGGTGAATCAGCTAAGAGTTGATCCTCAAAATTTGAAAAACAAATACTGCCAAATATCATTATCAAGCATATAATTACCACTGAAGCATTGGAAATAAACAAATCATAAAGTACTCAAAAAGTATCATTGCATCCCTATGATCAATATCATATAACTACATTCCACACAGTCCTTGACACATTTGACCCTAAAAATTGAAGGGTGATAGTGTATGAAGGCCTCTCAAATAGATTTTCTCTTTTAAGCAGTGTGGACATACCTAATGAAGAATGCATGAATAAATCCAAAAAAAAAAAAAAATAGTGCAGGCTTCTCCTGGTGACTTAAATACAAAATCTTATGGAAAGATACAACAATATTAATCTGTGCAGTCTGTAATTTTTTTACATGAGAATCAAGTTTACAGAACTAAAAAGAGAATTTTTAACTCTTACATGCTTATAAGAATCTGTAATAGGAAAAAGGCAACTCTTATTTCCAAATGATGAAATTTCTTTATGCATATCATTAACTTCAATGATCACAAATAGTATAAGAGACCATTCATATTTGTTTCTAAAAGACCCTCAGTGTGTAAAAATGACTAAAAAAAACTATACTCATTATCCCTATTATGTATGGGAGTAGACATTGTTTTGCAGTTCCATTATTATTGTTATGTACTCTCAATACACTTCCAATGCAGATTTATCCTCTATAGGGCTTCTTAGACTATAATTCTTTATAGGAACAGAAATTCTCAAAATCCAGTCTTATCTTATTCTACATCACCACCTGAGCTTACTGTTCAGCAGCTTAATTATGATGAAATCACAGAAAAATTTATAAGAGCAAGCAAGAGAAAAAAAAATCATCTGGAATCAGAACACCAAAAGGGAAGAACACTCCCAGCATTTCTCAAGCTGGAAGACCTGAAGAAAAAATTCAATCCTCAACTTTCATTATTGAAGGATTCTCTGGAAAAATTATTAAATGATGCAGAAAGCATCAAAAGAAGATGGAAGGAATACACAGTCACTTTACCAAAAAGATATGGTTGATGTTCAACCATTTCAAGAGGTAGCATATGATCAAAATTAATGATATTGAAGAAAGAAGCCCAGGGTGAATTGAAGGGATTGACAAAGAACAAGGCACCAGGAATTGATGGAATAAAAATTGAAATTTTTCAACAAAGTGAGACGGCACAGGAGGTACTCACTCATCTACGCCAAGAAATTTGGAAGACAACTATCTGGGTGACTGATTGGAAGAGATCTGTATTTGTGCCTATTCGACAGACAGTTGACCCAACAGAATGCAGAAATCATGAGACAATATCTTTGATATCCCATGCTAGTTAAGTTTTACTTAAGGTAATACAGAAATGACTGCAAGTATGCTATGTCACAGAACTTCCAAAGGTTATACCCATATGCAGAAGAGGATGTGGAATGAGGGATATCATTGTTGATGAACAATGGATCTTGCCTGAAAGTAAAGAATACCAGAAAGATGTTTACCTGTGCTTTATTGACTACACAAAGGCTTTCCATTGTGTGGATCATGACAAACTATGGACAACATTGCAAAGTATGAGTATTCCAGAACACTTAATTGTGCTCATGAGGAATCTGTACAAGGACCATGATACAGTTGTTCATATAAAACATGGGAACATTGAATGTTTTAAAATTAAGAAAGGTG